TGGGTCTGGTCTGTTTCTTAAGGAGAAGCTGCCAGAAAGCCTTTTATGAACCTATTTAAAAGAAGCGATACACAAATGCATCTAAAGCTGTCTTCATGGAGAGATCAGGAGCTGATTTTTACAGTCTGAGAGCTTGTTGCTGTAAACCTGTTGACCAGATAAAGTGAATCTGTCGGCACATCCTGCTCAAGCTGGAGGGCAGGAACAACTTTTACACTTTGGATGCAGTTAGAAACAATCACACATATTGGACTGACATGATAAACAAAAAGGGATGGGACACATGAAAATGACAAAAACAACAAAACATTGAGTAATAAAATTGATAAGATAAGGCAAACAATCAAAAATACTACTTATATTTTATCATTCTTTACTGTTTTTCTTTTTAAATAATGAATTTTTTGGCGTTTGGGAGACGCAGAAAAAGAAAGGATAAAGGTAGACATCTTAGTAATTAAGTCTTAAAATAAACCAAGTGCTTAAATGTTTGGAAAAATGCCAATATTTTTTTCTAAAATTACATTTTTCATTTCTCTGGTGCTCAGTTTTAGGTTTTTGGACCCCACTGTGTGTTATTAAACAACATGGCCGGCATCCAGAAATCCTATTTAGAACACAAAGTAAACTAAAATAAATCAAGAAAAATCATATTTATGAAATTAGTAGTAGAAATGATTAAAGCCAAACATTTAAACGGATTATTACTGTTGTTTGATTGTTACTTAAATAACCCAGTCAGGGTTACTTTGCTTTCTCAGAATCGCTGCCTTCTTTTTTAATAAATATGAAGAGGTCTGCGGCTACATCACAGGATTACACGCATTGGTCTGGTTTCATTAGTTCACAACTGTCCTCAATGTCGTCACAAGCAAAAGCGAACCATGGTTTGGGCCTAGCCTTTTTCCAAACCAAAGTGCAGCTGCCTGGCCAGACACCCCCTGGCATCCGCAGGGTTTTTGGTGGGAAGCTTATGATGCTAATTTTATTAACTGATTTGGTAAACTGAGATGGTTGATGCCATAATTAGCAGCAGATAAACTAGTTATGTGTCTCCAGCTGTTATATTATTGACTTTTCCTTGATGCTTATCTGATTAGATAAGATAAACACACCAAACGCTTCATCATATTCTCTGAACTTACTGACTTATGACAAGGCCTTTTTTTTATCTGTAAAGTGTGTTACTAAAAATCAAGCAGAAATAATAATAAGCAAACCTGGGAATAGATGGCACTTCCTATAAGGTATGGTTAAAATGTCATGTGAAGTTCAAGTGTTAATAAAAAATCAGTCTCACAGATACTTTCTCACACTCCTAAAACAGGCAAATTCCTCAATCTGCCTCTTTTTTTAACCCAAACGGAGACGTTATAATCGCCCGGAGTGAATGCAGCCTGGAGTAACACCACCATTTACATAAAAACACAAATTAGACGCGGGGCCAGGAAATAACTAGTCTAACGAACGTTCTTACTTCCACACCCCTAACATTTCTGCTAAAAGATAATTGCTTTTTCAGGGTAGCACTTCTCCTCATTGCTCGGTTATCGATCAAAGTTTCTCTATAAAGTTTACCGTCTCATTGGTGGTGTCCTCATTATTCCAAGAAACACTCCAAACAACAATCTTATACAAGAAAACGGCTATGCGGGGACACATTTTCAATGTCGTCTATGACCTTTGTGTAAAACTAGCAATTTCCATATAGCGTATGAACCCATTAACCCCAATTAAATCAGTGTCCTTCATTTCCTAATATCCCAAAGGGCTCGGCTATGAGCCAGTAGCTAAAAGAAGTCCCCAGACAGACAATTGAAAGCACAATTAGTAATCCAGTGCTGTGGAGGTTTTCCTGTCTGCTTCCTGTTGTAAGCGGCACAGGAGGGAAGTGAAGGTCTGCTCCTATAGCGGGGGGCATTGTGAGTCTTCCTCTATGAATTCCTGTCCTGGACAATGGGACAGGACAAGACCCCAACCCACAACCTTCTATACTGGTTTGATAATAATTACTGGATGAAGCTGCTTTCTTGGCTCAAACCAGAGAAGAAAAGAAAACATGCTTGTTTGGGCTTCTAAATTCAATTATAGGTAAAGGAGTTCATGTAAATATCTAAAGTTTTGACCACATGTGAATCAGTGGACGGATAATTCAACCCCCCTGAGAGGTATCTAAATTAAAAAAAAAATGTTTTCTGGTTCCAGAGATTTTAGTTGATATGATGAACTTGTTTCTTTTTGGGGACCTTAAAAGAACTGTCTGTATTTACAATGTTCTTAACTCATTAAATGTTTAGTTTTATTCACATTTCTTATTTAAATCCATCTCTGCCAATCAAAAGCATACTGTGCTGGCTTGAAAATGAAATACTCATCCCGCAGTCTAAACTCTGACCAACTTTCTCGGATGATAATACTAGAATAAAGTGTATCAACACAAGAAATAAAGTACAGAAATTACATTTTGATTCTCCTAGTCTCCAGATCCAGATCATTTCACTTCTGCAATGTGATAACTAATTCTAAAAAGTTGAGATGTGCTGATTCACTGCTACAATACACAAATATTCAGGTTAGAAATATTGTCTCACTAAATAGCCCTTTGGTATGAGTGAGTGTAAGCTGTAGCCTAGCTACTCTGTGATAGACGAGCAACTGGTCTGCAAACCTGCAAAGTTAAGTGATGATAGATAGATAGATAGATAGATAGATAGATAGATAGATAGATAGATAGATAGATAGATAGATAGATAGATAGATAGATAGATAGATAGA